TTGTTTTTTTTCGTGGTTAAAGGATCCCTTCCAACCACAATACCCTGCGCGCCCAAACAGAAAAAATAATTAAGAAATAACTAGTCAAATAGAAAGAACAATAAATTTGGAACGCGATTGAGGAAATTCAAGACCTCAGTGAGGCAAATGTACTCGGATGAACGAGGATTTCTTTCCACTTCACGACTTGTCCAATACCGGATGGCAGAGAAAATGGCGGATTTCACATATCGCGCGCGCAATGTATTGTGGTTGGAAGGGATCCTTTAATAGTTCCCACGTTCAATGGTGACAAGAGAAAGTTTGAAGATTTTTGGGCCCTTCTTACGAGCCTCGTAGACAAGTCAACGGAGCCAGTACATTTGAAAATGGCAAGATTACGACAATGCCTTATAGGGAACGCTTTGGAAGCCATCCGTGGTCTCGGAATCACCGCCCCCGAATACGAGGAGGCAAAAGAAATATTAAAGACGAAGTATGGAGGTACGCGCCGGCTTCTGCGAGCCTATGTGGATCAACTAGAAGAGGCGCCGTTAATAAGAAGCAACGATATCCACGCGTTAGAAAAGTTTTCTGACCTTGTTAGAATTACAGTGGTAAAGTTACAGACCGAAGAAGGGAATGGCGAGATACGAGATGGAACTCTTTACAGCCTGCTGGTAAAAAAGTTTCCTGATCGTCAGCTAGAGAATTACAGTCGCTGGTTAAACGAACGCGCCAGACAAAGATCAGTCATAGCTTTCAGAGACTGGTTGAAAGACGAAGTCAGATTCCGAATAGAAGCAGCGGAAATGGTGAACGGGATTGATTCGAAACTGTCGAGCACGTCAGATTTCCGAGAGTACCGAGATACAAGGATCAGGGCAGGATGCGAAAATTTACATACTGTTGCAATGGCGAAAGAGCCGCGTGGTGTAAAGCCTCTATGTTCTCTCTGTCACAGTTTCTATCATGGGGTGTGGTATTACAAGGAGTTTTACGACAGAGGAGTGGATGACTGATGGAAGATCGCGAAAGAAAGAAGGCTGTGTTTCCATTGCCTAGGCTCTGATCAGAGGGGGAAAGATTGCCTAAGAGCCCGCAAGTGTGGTATAGATGGTTGCTCGCGAAATCATCATCGTCTTCTTCATGGGGGTGAAGTTTTGTCCGAAACTGGATCGACGACAACGTTGCCTTATGTTGACGATGAGAGACGCCCAGATGTTCCACGGGAGGGAGCACCCGCTGTGACCCTGACCAGCTGTAAGGAAGAAACATCGACTGAATCTTATTCGTTACGAACGGTCCCTGTGTGGATAAAGGCCAATGGTAGAAAAGTAAAAATAAACGCCATTCTAGACGACGCATCAAACGAAACTTTCCTAAATAAAGAGGTTGCTGGGGTCCTAGGACTGCAAGAGCCTTTCGAAAAAGTTCAAGTTCATGTTCTCAACGACACCGTCGAAATGTTTCAGTCCATGCCATTACAAATTGAAATCGAAAGTGCAGATGGCAGGTTGTCAAAGGAAATCGGGGTACAAACATGTCCTCAGAAAGTCACAGGTAGTTACAGAGCTGTGAACTGGAACAAACATCAGGATAAATGGCCTCACCTGACCCAGTGCAGTTTTCCCAAGCCGGCAAATGATGGACTTGTCGATCTTTTGATTGGCATTGATAACGCTGAACTCCATTATCGACATGTTGATCTCCGAGGAAAATAAGGTGGACCTGTCGCCCGCCTCGGACCACTTGGGTGGAGTTGTATAGGTGCGCCTGACGAAAGCCAAACCGCGAGGACACGATCCCATGTTATTCGTTCCTTGTTCACTACAGAGCCAATTTAGAGCGAGAGAAAAGAGTCCTATTGTGATGTCGACAACAGCTTAAAGAGATTCTGGGAAATTGAGAGGTCTGGCACAGACCACGATGACAGACTCGTACTCACCGAAGAATAAAGACTAGCTTTAAGAAAAGTGAAAGATTCCCTAAGGGACAAAAATGGAAGGTATCGTGTAGCCGTTTCTTGGAAAAAAAACAAACCCGATCTCCCTGACATCAAACCTATGGCACTGTCTCGACTACGAAGCACCAAAAGAAATTTGAAGAAGAACAGCCGTGTCGCCGAAGAATATCAAGCAACCATCCAGGCCTATGTTAGTAAAGTATATTTACGAAAGGTTCCCTGAAACGAACAGCTGCCAGCTAACGTATGGTATTTTCCGGTCGTAAGAATGGATAAATCGACAACAAAAGTACGAATCGTATTTGACTGTGCCGCTAAATGTAATGGTACTTCCTTAAATGACATGATTCATCCTGGGCCGAAATTACTGCAAGATCTTTTCAAAGTGCTCGTCCGTTTCCGTGGAAACCCTGTTGGCATCGCCAGCGACATGAAAGAAATGTACCTCCAGAAAGACATTGAGGAGTAGGACCGATCCCACTTCCTACTGTTCTGGAGAGATCTTGACCCTAACAAACAGCCAGATGAATTCGAGTTTAATTCAGCCCCTATGGAGTCGCAGTTCGTCGTGCAGGAAAACGCTCGAAGAAACCAAGACTGTTATCCCCTTGCCGCTGAGACCGTCCTTAAGTCAACTTATATGGACGATCCTATTGACAGTGTTGAAAACGATGGTGAAGGAGTGGAGCTATACCGTCAATTGAAGGCATTACGGGAGTCGCCGGCATGCAAGCCAGGAAATGGATCTCTTATTCACCGAAAGTTATTGAGGCGATTCCATCAGAAGAACACGCCACAGAGATTATGATTAACAGAGGTCAAGACCCGATAACGAGGACACTAGGAGTTTCCTGGAAAAGTACCGAAGACGTGTTTACCGTTACCGCTTTTCCAGTCTCCCCGGAATTTCAGACAACAAAGCGAAACGTCCTGCATAAAGTAGCAACGATTTTTGACCCACTGGGATTCGTACGCTCGTACGTTATTGTGGCAAAGATTCTACTTGAGGAATTGTGGATGCGAGGTTACAACTGGGACGACGAAGTTTAATATCGGGACTTGCTTCGAGCAATTGAAAGGTCTGCACGAGGTGACATTCCTCGGTGTCTGCGAAGTCCACAGCCTGTTAAGTCGAAGCACATTGTGACTTTTGTCGATGCCTCACAACAACCTTATGGTGCAGCAGTCTATATCCGCTGTGGATACGACAACGATACTGTAACCAGTCGCCTGATAGTAGCAAAGAGCAAAGTGGCACCACTGAACCCGAGAACAGTACCCAGACTGGAACTCATGGGTGCGATTTTAAGCCTACACCTAACACAGTCGATGCTGACAGCCTTAGAAGTACCAATGCAAAGCGTGACGTTTTACTCTGATAGTACAGATGCTCTATGATGGATTCGAGTACGCGGCAAGGACTTCCGACCGTTCGTACCCAACCGAATTGGTAAAATACAGATGTTCACTGAGCCGTCACAGTGGCAGCATGTCTCTACCAAAGGCAATCCAGCCGATTTATGTACAAGAGGGGTGACATCGTCAGAATTGGCCAAATGTTCCCTGTGGTGGAATGGTCCTGAACTGCCTGACAGATGATTTCAGTAAGTGGTCAAAGATGAAAGTCCCGGACAGACCTAGTTAAATGCCAGAGATGAGAAACTCGAAAAGGAAAGAATACATGAATGCCTATGCAACCCTTATGACGTGTAATCTTCAGAAAGGAACCGCACCGAAATAGAGCAACACGTTAAAAGAGTGGAGACTAGATCCGAAACTGTTTTCCAGTTGGACACGTTTAGTTCGAGTACGTGCGAGAATGAGAAGAGTACTACAAAACATGCGCAACAGAGACAATAGGAATGAAAGTATGCAACTGTTGCCCGAAGAATTAAAGGATGCTGAAGGAGAAATAGTGCGCTTGGAACAACGCAACGCTTTTTGTGACGAGTACACAGCTTTAAGCTCAGGGAAGCCGATACCAAAGAAAAACCAGTTCATAAAGCTTAACCCGTGCATCGACGACGATAGAGTTATCCGCGGTGTTGGCCAATTAAAGTTCGCAGGTTTTCTTCCATATGATACCAGATTTCCAATCATTCTACCTCGTGGACACTGGGTGACGAAACTTATTGTGAAGCACTATCATGAGAGAGGAAATCATGCTACTGGAGTAAACGTCACTCTTTGCCAGATGAGTGAGAGATTTTGGATTATCGCCGCACTCGAGGAAATTCGCGAGTGAGATCGTGAATGTAACGAACGTAAGAGAAGACGAAACAAGCCAGCTTGTCAGATTATGGCCCCACTCCCGCAAATGAGGTTCCGTTTCAGCTTCAGACGTTTCGCCGAAACAGCCGTAGATTTTGCACGTCCTTTCCATACTGTTCAAGGACGCGGAAAACCACGACAGAAAAGGTGGTTGTGCCCTTTTACTTTCTTGGAAACACAAGCAGTGTATTTAGAGATGGTCTGGGGACCGGATACCGACACGTTCTTAAATGCCTTCGCCAGTTTTACCAGTCGTCCTGGAGTTCCTAAAGAAGTGACAAGCGACAGAGGCACAAATTTCGTGTGCGCAGAGGACGAGTTAAAGAAACTAGTCCGCCAGCTAGACCGACAACAACTTCAGGACAAGACAGTCGAACTTGGAGTGACATGGAGATTCAATTCACCGGCTGCCCCACATTTTGGAGGAGCCCATGAAATAATGGTGAAAGCTGCTACGAAAGCCACGTACGCCATTCTTGGAGAACGGGACGTGAACGACGAGGAGTTAATCACCGTGTTCACAGGGGTGGAGTCGCTTCTTAATTCCCGTCCGTTGACTTATCAGAGTTCAGATCCACGAGACGATGTTCCATTGACACCTAACCATTTCTTGTACGTCCAAATT